AAAAAAAAAAAGAAGAAAATCAGTTGTTACCACAGTGCTACCATATGGTAGTTACCTAAACAATACCTTTTACAAACATTTTGATTCTATTAAAAGTCACTTATTAGTTACTGAACAGTTATTTACATGAAATAAGATTATATGAGACTGTAACCAAAGGATCAAAAATTTAATTGTAACTATTAATAGATGTAAAAACAAATGAATAGTTGGATTTGTTATTTCCCCCCTTTTCTGCACAATAACATCTATTTTATTTTTATTCTTTTTTACTGGCAAGAGTACATAAACAAATATTCAACATGAGGAAATTTTCAGTGTTTGTATTTTTTTTCTGGCCACTTTTGTTATTCATTTCACTTTTGTGATTATTGCTGAAAATAATCCAGTCATTTAAAGGAGGGAATTATTTTCTAATACTCCCTCCTCTATTCAGTTAAATTGCATAGTAGCATTCATTAAGGATATATTAATGAGCTAAATATGTTCTTGAATATATTCCTAACTATTTTGAATGTACATTGAACATATAATTAGGATTTATTTTTTTGAAGAATATTCATATTCATTTAAAATGTTCAGGAAAATAATCTTCATTGCAAGGTTTTGGTAAATTGCTAAATTTGGTGAATTACCTGTTTGGTGTCCTAGCCATTCAGTGAGTTGTCTTTACCCACACAAGATGGATTGTGTCATCTCCATTTATCTCCATGGGAAAGCTGAGATGTAGAGAATGTGAAATAATTTGAGCATCAGAATGAGGAGCTGGGATCTGAACAGAATCTTTTAACTGCCGAGGCCACTCTCTTGGGCACGATACTGTAACTCTTCCTCATACACATACTCTTAAAACTAAAGTTGCCCATGAAATGCTGCCCAATGGGAACTTCACCGGAAATGCTGCCCAGGTGACGATGAATTAGCTAAGTGGGGTTACAGAACCCGGGGCCTACCCACCTCTGAGTCAAACTCACCCTTCCACCCAATCACCAATAAGGAGAGCACTGCTCAGAGTCAGAACCCTGATCTCAGAGTCAAGCGGGTGAAGACAGATTTCACCACGATTCTGACCTTCATGCAGGAATCAGAGATTTGACAGGTGAGCAAAGTTTACCCAGTAGGGTCCAAAGTTCATAACCCCAACCTCTACCAGCGTCCCACAGCCTGAGTCTGAAGGGAAAGGAGTTTAGGGAAAGGAGGCTGGAGAATAAAACCAGCCCCCCCCCAGATGAATGGGGTTCTCTCCTTCCCCTCCCCAGTCATCAACAAAGACCGACACTAATCTTATTAAAAAAATCTTATTCCCTAAGCGGTGATAAAGAATAATGATCTCAGCAGCAGTCAGCACGAGATCCGTCTTCAGAGCAGTTTGGGGGCAGGATACGCATTTTAAAAAATAGTTTACATTTTCAAGAGCAGAGCCTCTTAAACCTGGTCAGAATGTATTTACAACTTGCCTGGTGAGATGATGCGTATCTCCAAGCTGGAACGCTCTTTCATAAGACCTTGTTTAATTGAATCGAGCAAAGTCATTTTGGGATGGTCCCAAAAGAAAACCTTTTATCTCAAGGCAAGTGTGTCTTAACAAGGCCCTACAGGTACATGAAGCCAGATTTCCACTCACCTGAACTCTTTGCTCGCCCTTTCAAAAGCCTATGCCCGACTTCACTTGTCTTCCTTTTCAGTGAGGAAATTGCTTATGGAGTTAGCTGTTGCCAGTGAAAGCAACAAGTTGGCTTTCTTTTTCTCTTTTGACTGTTAGGAAACACCTTGTCTCCCTTCTTTCCTCACAAATCCATTGTACATAAGCTGGAGCTGTGCTTGCAATGCAAGGTCAAGGTCTAGCCAGGACTGTCAGATTGAGTCCTGTTCGATTTTTGATTCCCACTGGGTTGGCTCTAGAATTTAGGCGTTTCTGTCGTTGTCGTTGCTTCAACAACAGAGGTTTATTGTCTCACAGTTCTGGATAGAATTTAGGCTTTTGATACGTCTTTAGTGCATTAAGGAAAGGTCAGAGTTCATGACTGCATTCCCCCAGACACCCAGTGCAGCAGGGGCCCCTGCCCTGGGCTCCACAGCAGGGAGGACACCTGTTCTCCATCCCTGCTCCTCTATCAGTTGCAGACTTGGATCCTGCGTGGAGGTGGCATTGGTCTCTGGGCCAAACTTGAGACTAGAGAAGCTGTGAAAGGTGATTGATATGATAGTCATATACTTTTCACCAGGCGGGCACACTCAATCTTTAAACGCAACTTACAAATTGGAAGTGGGGCTTGAGCGGTCAGTGGCCTGCCAGGCATCGTCTGAGCCGTGTCTCCCAGATTCTCTGCTCCCCGCCCAGAAGAATCTAAGAGCCTTTCTCTAGAAAAGTGACTTGTCTCCTCCCCTGGCACTTTTCACAGTAGGTTTCCTTGACTCAGCATAAACTCCGGTTCCAACAAAAAAAATCACAGGCAGCAGAAGAAGCAGTGTTTACTGCCCTCCCTCGTCATCCACGCTGCCATGTCCTCCGTATTGAGCTGTTGCTCATATCAAATGTCACTCGGGGAATGACTAATAGTGGATGCTGATGAAAAGCCTTCAGCCTTACGGTAAATGAGCCCATGCAGACTTAGAGCAAGTCATCTGACAGGTCACGTGGGCGGGGAATGGCTGTACCCTCCCACCTACCCCTCTCCAGCACCACCACCCCGCCCCACCCCTCCCCGCGCGTGCTGCGTGACTCAGTGGATCACACGGTCCTCCAGGCAAGAGCAGGCGTTACATAAACGCCAGGAGTTCACACCGAGCCACCCGGAGCCGCGTGAACACCGCGACCCAGACGCCTCCTCTTTTAGCTCCGGGGCTGCGATGGGGGCGCCCGCCTCCCGGCCCCCCTGGGATTCACAGGAAGGTCTCCAGGCACCCGAGGTTCCAGAACACAAAAGCAGGACCCAGGAAATCTGCCCTGAGTTGCAAACCCAAGAAAGACAGCCTCCATCCTTGATCAATTGTGCGTTTCAGAGAAAGCCATTCCTCCCCCACGCCACAGCCGGCAGGGGCAGGGCGGGGTGGAGGAGACGGGCCTGGAGACTTATTCTATTATATAAACTTGTAATTGCTCTGGCTCCTGCGGCTGGGGCACGGCACGTTGTTTCCAAGCAGATGGATTGGGAGGCCCCGCAGCTTCCTGGTCCCCCATTCCTCCCTCTCCTCTCACCGCCCCCTCCTGCCCAAGCCCTACCCTCTCCCTTCCCAAGTCTACCAGAATTCCCCTTTCTTTCCAGGGCTCCCCTGCAGAACAAGGCACCCAGAAAGGCGCTCATATTTGAAAATGGTACTCAATTATTAAATTAACGTTTGCCCAGCCTGCTAGCCTCTGGCAGCAAATCAACATTTCGAGACACCTCCCTAACTCAGGTGGACAGTCAGCCATCCTAGACCAGCAGTCCTCAAACTTTTTTGAGTGTGCATCAGAAGACCCTCAGGGCTTTTTAAAAACTGAGTGTGGGGCCCCACCCACAGAGCTCTGCACAGTAGGTCTGGAGGAGGCCCAGGAATGTGCATTTCTACACATTACCAAGTGAGGCTGATGCTGTGGACCCACTGTTATAAATGGGGGTGAGGCTGCCATTTCTGTTTTGTCCTTTGTTAAAGAAGGTTTGCCAGACAAATTATTAGTGTGGACGAGATGTCAGAAGGACCAACCTCCTCTCCGGTGTGAAATGGGACCAAAGCCTATTTTGCTGCAATATTATGAAAATTATATATAATGTATGAAAGCCCCATGGTTCAGATTGGGCTTGCACATGTGCCGTATTATTGCTATTATTATAAGTGGTCAAGGCCGCTTGGCTAATTAGCAGGTGAGCTAATGATAATAAGCAGGTGAGGACTCTAACTCGGGACCCCTGACTTGTAATCTAAAATAATTTTCCCACCACCCTCGGGCATAGAGAATGTTCCTTGAAAAAATATATCTGTAACACTCATACCTCAAGCTTTTCACTGATGAGGAAGCATCTTCTAGGGAGACCACAGGGGTGAGGTGTGTGGATTTGCTGGTGGTTTCTAAGCCTGACTGAAGTGATGAATCAGGGCCATTCAAGATGTCACTTAGAGCTTTCGTGAAATACCCGCCAGCTGAGTCATCCAATGTCTCCTGCCTTTTAAAATCTGTTTTCAATGGTTGGGGACTAGGGGCCAGTGTTAGATAAATTACTCCTACAGTTGCCTCCTGGAGCTCTCCCCCCCACGACTGCCCCAGAGCAAATACCCCGAGAATGAAGGAATCTTGGGAACTTCAGTCTGGAGTGTAAGATTGCTCCCTCTGAGCCCCTGAACCGGTGCTATGAGTGCCTAACCTGCTTCCTCTGTATTTTCAGCGAAAAGGGCTGCTCGCCACACCTTTGCACTTGCTTCACCAAGCCCCATGAGAGACCGCTGCTGCTTGGAGAGTCACATAAGTGAAAGGTATGGGCGAGGGAGGAAAAGCCGTCACATACTCAGGGTGGGTAAGTAGGAAACACAGAGCCCAGCGTGGCACAGAGCGACATCGTGGGTACGTGAGGACGTGGCATTTACATCCCCACATGAAATGAGATGCTAAATGGCTAATGGCTTCCTGGGGGTTTGGTTCCTTGCTGAGGATGCCTTCCACCATAACGCCTCTTCTCATCAGAGCTTCAGCGCATTAAAATATCACAGCATATGCTCACAGGTGAGGAGGCATCCACTCATGCTCTTGACTTTGATGCTGAAATTCTGGGAGGAAGAAAAACTATCCTACATAATCCGACTGCAAGTTGGTATCAATAGGCACTTCCAGTTTGTTTCTTCACATTGTTTCTTTTTTACTCTCTCTGACCTGACTCTGATTCAGCCTTCAGTCTTGTTTCATAGTTACTCTTATTTTTAATTCCGCTCGCCCATCTTAGACATGCTTGGCAGCCTTGAATTTCCACGTTGGTCCCCCCAGTTTGATAGGAAACCACAAACCTGGGTTTAGAACCCAGTCAGGCATAAGGAGATTTGTATGCCTAACATGTCCTCAGGTAGGTGGCATCTGTAACTAGAAAGGAATCTATTTTAAATCAGTGTGCTAGTCTGAATATTTATTCTGCGTTTTCTTGAGCATTTGTCATAGAGCAGTCACTTATTTTCCCTTTTCATCTTGATATTTTCCTCCTGGGTCAGTCATTCTTTTAGTGTGTCCTCAGGTATTTTGATAGAAAGATCTTGATTTTTCTCACCTTTTACAAATTTAAGAGCATGGCTCCTGTTTCTTAATATTGCAACTGAGGTTTTGATGGTTTTTGTGACAAATACTGATGTATGTAATACATCCAGACCTGTCATTTGCAGATACACCCAGAGAGGCAGAGTTGATATAAAACTAAAATAATTACTCACTTGGCTCCCTTTTAATGTTGCAGCATGATTGTCTGTCTTGGGTTTTAAGCACATATATATATTTTTATATATACAGCAAACATACTGAGACCCTATTGTGCCAGGTCCAGTGCTCCTTTCAGGGAATCTGGTGATGGTGGCAAAATGTGAACTAATTTCATCTCCAACAGTGCCATGATGGGAAACAGTCCCGGGGTTATGGATGTCAGACGAAGGGCATCTGACCTGCCTTTGGGAGACCAGCATGGCTTCCAAAGAGGAGGTGGCACTTCAGCTGAGTGTTACAGGAAAAACAAGAGTTCAGTTGACAGAAGCGTGGGTCACTCAGTTAAGCTGGAACCTGAAAGCACTCTTTCTATGCGATCTTGTCTGTCTACAAAAACAAAGATGCAAACAAAAGAATGGCTGACACAGGGAGAAGTTAACTTCTCTCACACGTAAATAAAGGACAAAGGTGATATGGAGGCTCAGGAAGTGTCATCAACCCAAGGCTCTTCTATCTTGTAGCACTGCCGTGCATGACCTCTTGGTCCAAGCTGGCTGCAGGGGCCCCAGCCACGACAGCTTTGTTCCAGGCAGCGTAAAGGTGGAAGGAAAGGCAGGCAGGCCTTCTCCTTTTAAGGAGGCCTCTTGATATGCCATAATTTCCCCATTGATCAAAACGTATCACTTTGTTCCACATAGCTGCAAGGGAAGCTGGGGAGTGAAGGCCTTAACTGTATGGTTAAGTAAAATGTCCAGGTAATATGTCCAGGTAAAGTCAGGGTTGTACCGTGTTTCCCCGAAAATAAGGCTGGGTCTTATATTAATTTTTGCTCCAACAATCTACATTTATTCATGTACAAAAATCTACATTTATTCAAACAGTCATGTCTGGCTGACAACTGGGGCTTGTGTTTGGGGTAGGGCTTATATTACTAGCATCCAGAAAAAATCATGCCAGGGCTTATTTTCCAGTTAGGTCTTATTTTCGGGGGAACACGGTAGGTAAGGAAGAAGGAGAGTTATTGGGAAGCAACTCATTGTCTTTGTCAGAGTGGTGATTGTGGGTGGAGAGAAAGCTGTGTGAGCAAAGGAGGGAAGGAATGCTTATCTTGTTTCAGGGAATAAAGATAAGTAGGTCAATTTGACATAGAGTTTGGTTTGCCAAGAGATAAGGCTGAAGAAATAAACAGATGCCAGGCCGTGGGAGATCTTGTAAGCTGTGCTGTGCTGAGGAGCTGGAGTTCTATCCCCAGGGCCACGGGGAGCTGTTGAAGGAATTTCATCCTTGAGGTAGACGGGAAAGTGCACTGGAAGGTGACGGCAGGGACTTCATTAGTAGGTGATGAGAACCTTTCAGGAGAAACTATGACAACCTGAGCCTAGGCAGTGGCACCAGGGATGGGGAGAAGTGAACAGATTCTTGAGATATTGGAGAGGTAGAACTGGTCAGATGGAGGTGGTGAAAAGTGGCCAAAAATGGCTGACACCCAGGCCCATGGTGGATCGGCTACCATTCACTGAGATCACAGAGAATGCTGGAGAAGGTGGGTGGACGAGGGTGCTCGGTGTGGACACATTGTCGCCAACATTCTATCTCCACACATAGTTTGGGTTGATCCACTTTTTTTAGCAGCTCTGTTGAGGTGGAATTTACATACCATAAAATTCACTCATTGGAAGTGTACGGTTGGATGCGTCATAGTAAATGGATATGGTTGAGCCACCATATTCAGTTCCACTGCCCCAGAAACTTCCCCCATGCCCATTTATATAGTCAATGTCCTCCCACCCCACTAATTTGCTTTTTTGCTTTCTATCAGATCTATTTTTTAAATGTGGTTTCAATAAAATGACGAGTGCAGTGACTGCCTGGTGGGGAAGCGAGTGGTGAGGGGTCCGGGAGGGGGGTTCATTTTCCCCAGGAGAGTTACAAGAACCATCTAGGGGGCTTTTTCAGACTGCACATCTGTCCTGCACCCCTCGTCCCCAAGGGTTGTGCTCCCTTCCCACGTCTAACCCTCCCCGAGTGAGTCACTGTTAAGAGTTGGGGATGAAGCGTAGGGAATATGGTAGGGAACCCCTGAACTTGTCGGTTCTTAATCATTAGCTTAATGGATATTTTATTTTATTGTTTTCAATCAGACATTTTGGCAGTTATCTGGCTAGAGCTCCGATTTTGGCTAGATCCCACATACTGGATACGATGATGCTGGAAAGCACACTTTGTATCACATAGGGCTTTTCAGGACCATCCCCTCATTTTCCCACAGTGGCTCAATGATGCTGAGATATTAAGCCCAATCGTCATTCCTTGGATACAGTTTTTCAGGTACAGTTCAGGAATTTACAAGCCCGAGGGGTGCCCCTGCCTCACTTGATATGATAACCACATTTTCTTTTAGCTGTGAATAATTCTACATGTAAGTGAGAATGAACGATTCTTTTTTGGTGGTAATGCAGCCCTATTGAATGACTTGAGGACACATCAGTTTGGAGTCCCTGGTCTCTTCAGGAAGACTGTTCGATCAGGGAAACCTTTTCTTAGTACTTGACTTTAAGCTTATTATAGATTTCTAAAGTCTCTCAGACTCCACTTCAACTATATCTATCTTGAGTAATGTCAAGATTTTTTAATTACTTGCAAACACCATCCATGCTAGGAAGCCTAAGACTGCTGTTTTAGAAATGAGAATTATGTAGGCACTTTTCCCCTCTGCTCTCCTAATTGTCTCAAAGCATTTAGGATTCAAAGGGGCTTCAGGGTGGGACTGTGGCTCTAACCCATTTCCCTCCCTTAGAGGGGCTTCTCTACTGTTTTAACCTCCCCTGACCCTTCTGTCTCTTCCATAGGTAGGAAAAATGATATTAAACACTGTGGAAACCACAAGCTTGAAAAACCATTAGATCAAATATTCCTGAAGTTCAAGCACTTGTCTTGTAGCACGCAGTACTGCCATCACTTTCTCTGGTCCAAGTGGCAAGAAGAGGTCACCATGTATTCCTTCATCCCACAATATTTCTTGAGCACCTACTATGTGCCATGCCCTGGGGATTCAGCCATGAACAAGAGAGGAAAGGTCTCTGCTTTCTGGGGCTGATGTTCTGGCAGGGCAAGAAACAGACCATCAATAGGATAATTTCGAAGTAGTAAGTTAAGTAAATAACACAGGGCGATGTGCTGGTGATTGACTTGGGGAGGGTCTTCTTAGAAGAGCCTCATCATGGAAGCGTTTCAGTGGAGGTAGAATTTACGTGAGCCTCCAATGAAGAGAAGGAGGCACCTAAGGCCAGGAGGACCATTCCAGAGAGGGGGCCCAGGAGGGGACAGAGCTTGGCACACTCAAGGTACTGCCAGGAGGCCAGGCTCTGCAGAATCATCATGTAGGATAAGAGCGGTATGCCATGAATGTTGTGACTCCCAGGCAGGACCCAGGTCAGCTCACCTATAGCCTAGGGCGAGACATCCTGTAAGAGAGTCAGAGAGTCACTGGAGGGCTTGAAGCAGGTAAACAGCATGATGCTCTTTGCTCTGCAGGATAATCGCTCTGGCTGCTGAGTGAAGGCTGGACAGGGGGTAGGGCAAGAGAGGAGACCTGGAGTCAGGTCAGGAAGGTATTGCATAATAGGGGGAGACATGACTGTGGCTCTGCCTTGGAGGAGTTGAGGAGACGTTTCATGCAACTCATAATTGGAGCTCCCTTCTGTGGTCTCACTAAGATCCAAGAGGCCCTTAAGGCCCCAGGGGCATGGTGGGAGAGCCGCTATCCTCCTGTCCATCAGAGTAGCAGGATAGTGGCCCACCACTTAACCTGTGAGGTCTCTGTGGGGTGGCTATCAGTTTGAGTAGCATTATCACGTCTGGGAATTTCAGCAGAGGAGACCCAGTTTCCCTGAGACCCCTCCAAGAGCCTTTCCTCCCCTTCAAAGAGACCATTTTCCTCTCCCCTTCCTGCTTGGGGATCTCCAGCAAAACCTGTCCAGTGAGCTGGGAGTTTTTCAAGCTGGGATCCTCTTCCCAGGCTTTGAGTTTTTAGTGCAGCAAAGATCCCTGAGGTAAAGACTCACAAAAGTCCCGA